ATGACCTGCGGTCTTTTAAGATGAGAAAGAAGGGTGACATCTTTTGAGCAATTTGAGTGAAGGACGGGGTTTATTTCCACCCTCCTCTTTCTCATATGTAGTTGAAAATTGCTATGATGGTGTTTAAGATCTGCTTTGATACCTTACAAATTGCATTGTGCAAGTACATCGACTCCCGCTCTTTGAGCAGCATCACCGTTGTTGGCAAAATGTTATGTATTTAGATGACAGTTGCGTGCCATTTTGTGCACAATATAATTTAGAGATCTGAGGGTAAGGTGAAATGATGAAATGCATTTGCAATAAATAAAAACTCGTGAGCTCATGGCGATCACCATTGTAGCATAGCGGTCGTTTGCAGACTGCACCACTCACTAGCATTGTAGCATAGCGGTCGTTTGCGGGCTGCACCTTTAGCTAGCATTGTAGCATGGCGGGCGTTTGCGGACTGCACCACTCACTAGCATCGCAGCCTAGAGGGCGTTTGCAGGCTGCACCACTCACTAGGCGGGGGGAGCTGGGTTGGCGGGTTATATTTTGGAGAACGTTGCTTCTCTAGGTCAGAACATGAATCCGAACCCGAACTCGAACCCGAACCTGAACCCGAGCGTGAACCTAATATGTTTCTAAATCCGTGGGGTGTAATTGCGCTGAAATCGTTTGGAGCTGAACCCATATGACTTACCTTACGTACCCCCAAATCTTTAGTTCTCCTCGGATTTTCGCCACATTTAGTTGTACCTTTGATGCAAAACAAAAATTAAAAATATATTTAGTCGGTTCCAAAATTGATGTCATGCTGACGAATGGCATACGGTTTGCAGGTGATGTAAAAGTCGCAACGATGCTTTATAATGACCAGGAATTTTAGACTGATACTGATACCGGCAGGCACTTATTGTACCAGCAGGAAAGACACTTGCTGTATTTTATGCTGCCCAGCACCGCATTTTTTGTTCATATGCATTTGTATTGTGGGGGAGAGGCTCAGAAGAGCATTGAGAGGCTCAAGTCAACATGGGGAGGGGGCTCAGGCCGCCTAATATATACAAAATGACACCACTGAATGAATGCGCTCGCTTTTCTATGTAGTGCCTGTGCGATTTCATACTCTTTGATAGACCATCTATTGAATGAGAAGCATCGTATTTTTTCGGGACTCTACTACCTTCCATATTACACATGCACACAACGATATGAAACTTGTGGTGTGCGCTATCTGTATTGCGTTTTCACCCACATCGGTTGTTTTCTCACCCGATTGTAGCCAACCTTTTTTGTCACACAATGCGCCTTCAGACCAGATTTTCAGTTTCAGTACTGGCCATGACAGCGGCCCGCGGTCAGCAGCAGCTTCAGTACTAGCCATGACAGCGACCCGCAGTCAACAGCAGCTTCAGTGCTGGCCATGACAGCGGTCCGCTGTCAGCAGCAGCTTCAGTGCTGGCCATGACAACGGTCCGCTGTCAGCAGCAGCTTCAGCGCTGGCCATGACAGCGGCTCGCAGTCAGCAGCAGCTTCAGTGCTGGCCATGACAGCGACCCGCACTCAGCAGCAGCTTCAGTGCTGGCCATGACAGCGGCCCGCAGTCAGCAGCGGAAGGCCTTTCGGCGCCCAAAGATGTGAAAGCGGATCATCCGTCCAGTCTTTGTTCACGGATGCGAACCTGTCTTAGTCCACCGTAGAAGCTGTCGGGGTGAATTCGAGGCCCGAGTGACCGCGCTAAAGCGCTTCTGCCGCGCGCTAAACACGCAGTTTGAACGACGGGTGAAGTAAGCTGACTGTTTGACCAAGCGAGCTTTTTGTGTCATTCATTTCCATCTTTTAGAAATGTAGCTCACACGTTTGGATTAGATGGTGACTTGCACGATCGCTGACATATTTGACCCAATATTTCGCTCGATTCGCTTTCGGAGCAGAGCGACAACCAAACACACCCAGTTTATGACGCAGTTTCTACGAACTGCGTCAGCCCGTTGGCGCGTGACTCATGGACCAATCAGGCTCCCGCGGCGCGCGCAAAATCAGACTGCTAGGCATGCTCAAGGCCACTGGAGTAAAAAACTACGCAGCCGTGACGTCACCATGGGACTAAAGTTTGGTAGCCGTAGTATGGTTTTGATTGATACTAGGAAAAGTTAGGTAGATACTAGTCACATAATTAAAACCAAATATTTCGCCAATCAACTGGATGACAATTCTGTTCTACGTCTTTAGTCTGACGTTATTTGACTAGATACCGTAATTTTACACTTTAAACCTTTCAAAGACGAATCGATATTAGCATCTGATTACATAACTATATTCTCCTAATCCACGTTTTCCAGTTCCAGCAGCCGCACCATACTCGTTGTGGCCAACGCGCCAGAATATTTATACTAAAACGTTTTTGTAACAGAAATATTTATATGCAGATAACTAAATATATATGTAATGTTTACATTACATTCACTGATCGGCAATGATTGTCCAAATATCTTCGTACTGCGGTGCTCGTATGGAGTGAAATGGGAAAATAAGGGTATGTGAGGAGGGCAGGTGCTCAAAATTTCGCTGATACTGTGCTACGGTCTTACTAGGTGCTGGTTAACTTACTGATATATCATGTTGGATAAATTAGATAGAAATGGTGCCCGGAGAATAATCATCCACCCGCCCTTGTGTATAATGTTGAATGGATTAGATAAAATGGCGCCCGGAGAGTAATACTCCACCCGCCCTAAGATATAATGTTGAATGGATTAGATAAAATGGTGCCCGGAGAATAATACTCCGCCCGCCCTAAGATATAATGTTGAATGGATTAGATAAAATGGCACCCGGAGAATAATACTCCACCCGCCCTAAGACATAATGTTGAATGGATTAGATAAAATGGCGCCTGGAGAACAATACTCCACCCGCCCTAAGATATAATGTTGAATGGATTAGATAAAATGGCGCCCGGAGAATAATACTCCACCCGCCCTAAGATATAATGTTGAATGGATTAGATAAAAATGGTGCCCGGAGAATAATACTCCACCCGCCCTAATATATCCCAATTATACTATTTCGGGCCGAGATATGGGCCAGGACTCTTAGACTGGCAGAAATTGAAAAACTTACCGAAGGTCTTTTACAGGAAACTCTGCTATCTTGAACTGAAGTGGCGAGCGCTGTATTTAAGCCTCCCGCGGTTCACCACTCACTACCCCCGTAAGGGCAGGCCTGCATCCATGCTGACAGCTCTCCCTCTAAGGCTACAGGATGTGCATTCCAATTCCATAATGCGCGTTCCAGGGTGCTGGGAGCCCGTCTGGCCCGCCGTAGATCATCTCCATCCTTTGTTGTTATATGCTCTACTCTTTTACACAGACCACTTCTAGGCCCTTCCGGCTAGAGTTTTTTTCAGGATAAATCACTATTAAATGGGCTACCCCACCTCCCTGTCGGGGGTAGGCTCAAAACGCATTTCAGCAATAATTTAGACCGCAAAGAACAGCGTTTTCACCCCGCTGTAGCGTTGGCGCCATGTGACTTAGTTCCATGGTGACGTCACAGCATCGCTACCCAGCATGCGGTAACGCGGGGCTTGGGCGTGCTCTCTCCATCGCACGTCACAGCCTCACGAGCGAGACGGCTCGAATGTGCCTGACGACTCTGGAGACGGATTTACTCTTAATGGTTTTCTAAGGTAGTTGTGAACAGAGTTTTGCGCTTAGCGTTTGGCATAGACGACCTGCCTTGGCCGTCGTGGTCTGTCATTGACAAAGCCAGAGCGCAGAGGTCTGAAACTGAGACAGGTAGTGATGTGGGTAGTCACTGACCTAACACTGACCTAGCGCTGGCGTTATTTTGAAATCGACTTACCGCACTATCGCAGTCTTCTGGTGTAATCCATTGGAATTTGCTTCGCACTGACGGGGCGCTCAACCTCCTGCCAAACGCTGACACCCTCTGCTCGAGTTTAGCGTGTTGTAACACAGCGTGCCCGAATATAATAGCGTTCGCCACATCGCAGATCGTTTGATTCCCTCGCTACGGTCATCGCTTGACTCCCTCGCTACGGTCATCGCTTGACTCCCTCGCTACGGTCATCGCTTGACTCCCTCGCTACGGTCATCGCTTGATTCCCTCGCTACGGTCATCGCTTGACTCCCTCGCTACGGTCATCGCTTGATTCCCTCGCTACGGTCATCGCTTGACTCCCTCGCTACGGTCATCGCTTGATTCCCTCGCTACGGTCATCGCTTGACTCCCTCGCTACGGTCATCGCTTGACTCCCTCGCTACGGTCATCGCTTGACTCCCTCGCTACGGTCATCGCTTGACTCCCTAGCTACGGTCATCGTTTGATTCCCTCGCTACGGTCACCGTTTGATTCCCTCGCTACGGTCATCGCTTGACTCCCTCGCTACGGTCATCGTTCGATTCCCTCGCTACGGTCATTGCTCGACTTCCTCGTTACGGTCTATAATACCATGGTTTTAAACACCCGTCAAAGTTTTTAGCAGTCCATCGTTTTTCTTGGCATATTGAGTCGCACCAATGAATCATTCGCCTAGGGGCGCAGTATTCGGACGGGGGCTTGTTCCAAAGAGTGTGGGGGGGGGGGGGGACAAGCCTCTGTTTTGAAAAGTCCGTCCATCACGACCGGGCCAACGCCAAATTTTCCCAAAAAGCTTCATGGCTTTGGCCACTCTTCTTTTCCCCCCTCCCGTTTTTACGCATATGTATGCGAAAGTAATTTGTCGCAACATACATCCCTGATCATGTCTGAAAGGCTGAGCTGTACACGGACGCAAGATCACATACTCAGATAAATTGATTGTCGAGGTCACCATGCAGCATGCATTTGCCGTACATAATGTGACGCGTCACTCAGCGGGGCTGGTTGTCTGGCTTCACATGGAGCAAGCTGATCCAGTTATCCACAGAACACACTCGTAGCGACCTCTTGACCCCAGGCAGGGGCAGATCACCATGTTTCATCATATGTCGACCTCCTGTGCCCCACAGATCACGATAACGGTGAACCTGCTGTCCTCGTGTCCGGCGACCGAGCGGCCGCCGCCCGACACCACACCGCTCGCCACGGACGCCCTGCCGCGAACCTATGACGTCACCATCAGCCGTGCGGCGTCGCGGTTCGCCCGCGTGTTCGCCGTTCCCCCCGCGGCCGGCCGCCGGATACAGCTGGTCGACGGCGATTGGCCGGCGTTCGCGGTGACGTCAGACGGCGGACTGGTCTACGTCTGGCGGCCGGACCAGCTCGTGCACGCCCAATCACCCGTCGTGCTGACGCTGGTGACGTCACTGGAGCAGGTCGAAGCCTCGACGCCGCCAGGCGATGAGGCGAGTGCGCCAGTGACGTCGGAGGGACATGCGGAGGGCGTGGTGGTGCCAGAGGACACGGCCGCCTGGACCGGAAATATCACCGTCCTCGTCTGGCTAACGGACGGCGACGACGCCGTGTGTGGAGATGACGTCCAAAGCGGCGCCAAAGCTGGCCGTGAAATGTGCGCCTCAAAATACCGGGAGAACGAATGCACGAGCACGTGCGGCGCCGGCGCCAACGACACGTGCTCATGGCGCCCGGCAGCGAAGCACCTGACGGAGCTATACGGCACGTGCAGCCCGGACCTGGACACGTGTCCGGACGGCACGTGTGACCCGCTGGAGGAGCTCTCGAGCGCCATCTGTCCGCAGGACTGTGCCGGTGAGACTGCCGCGGGCTCAGGCGCTGGGGCACGGCAAGGGCAACATGACTTCTGGAGACACGTTGGGAATCCCCTTCGCCCGGAGTAAGGACGGTGTAGACTGCCCGGAACAACGTTAGACAGCTTTGCTATTTAAGCTCAGCCTTTTTATCTCCAGGTTTAAAGCAGTTCCCACGCTGCCCCCCCCCCCCCTCCCGATCCGTCCAGTGACGTCATCATCAACTCTTTCACCGGCTCTGCAGGCGGCATTTGCGCTTGGCAGCACCGTTAGTGACTTCCCGGGGATTATGCTACGGTAATGATGTGGGCCCCAGATCCTTGTGCATTGATCGTGAGCGCTGAACGCCCTCGATAGCGTCATTACCCCTACTGGTAGATGCAGTATTAAGCTCCGCAACTTCGGAACTTGATCATCGGCGGCGCTGGGATGACGTCAATGGTCAATGAAATCTGATTGGTCAGATGATTTCTGGCGAGAGAGGATGGTGGTTCGAAATTCTGAGTAGCTTGATAGCGGGAAAGACACGGAGAATGAATGTCTTTCCCCCAGCGGTGCGTCGCTCATAAGGCAGGGATCAGAGATCGTCAGGCAGGCACTCTGCGATGGCTGTGCTATGGAAGCCCAAAGCCTGCAAAACACGCACGGAACCGCGCCATGCCTTCTGGGTCGTCATGCCTATCATGCCTTCTCCGCATATTGCAACCCAACACGACACGACTGGGTTATCATGAACATGAATGTCTCACTGTATCATGAAGGCTACCCTTGGTTTTTCTGCGCTGTTTGTGTGCTGCGCAGCGTCATCCGTTCAGCGGGGCCGCATTTGTCACTGCTGTGCGGTCTAGAGCAACGTGACTCCCAAAGTGGCCAGCAGACTCGGGGGAGGGGGGAACACGTGGACAGGGAATCCTACACCACGATCATCATCACGATTTGCTACCACGCGCACAAAGCTCAGCGCTACGCAAACCACGTACGTAGCCACATGTACAAAACACGCATATGACGGAGCTCAAATGTGTCATGTAGCATGTCATTGCAATGATAAATGATTGGAGAATTCCCGCTGCAGGCGACCCGGCCAACGCAAGAGGAAATTGTAGCGCTCTGAGCTCCAGCAGGGTCTGACTAGGCTATCAGTCTAGACAGGTTGTCTAGTATATGAGGTTGGTGGGTAGCATACCACTGCCCTAAGTTGACAGATAGGCTGCCGCCTGGGAAGGGCAGCGCCCATGGCTGACCACTGCGAGGGCAGAAGGCATCCGGCCACCTCTGATGGCACCCCCTTTCCACCCTCTTTCCACACCCTTTCCGTCTCCTACGTACACTTAATGACCATCTCATATCACGCCCGCACTCGTTGTCGCCGCGGTACAGACGCTCGTGGTGGCTGTCGCACGGCCATCTCCACCTGTCCTCCGGAGTGGGTGTCTACACGGCCGCGCCCTCCGTCGCCAGCGGACAGTCAGGAGGGCATCTTCCTGAGGCTGCCGGCGGCCGGGCGGGGCATCAAGCTCGGCCGGGGCGTCTGCTTCTGTCACTCGGTCGACTCGTGCGTCTGCTCGCCGTCCGACCATCTGCCGCTCGACTCCAATGTCTCCGAACCGGACGGAGGCAGCGGCCACGCACCCCACCGTGAGTGACCTCGGCCTGAAGGCGTGCCCTCTGAACAACCCCTGGCTGTGACCTCTGGCTAAATGTGTGACCTCTGACTAAAGTTGTGACCTCTGACTAGAGGTGTGACCTCTGACTCACAGCTTGACCTCTGAAGGACCTCTGATTGTGACCTCTGACGGAGGGTTATTCGCCATCACCCCCACCGTTAGTGACCTCTGCCCGGAGGCGTGACCTCGGTCAATCGTCGCCCGGCGGCTGGCCCTCGATCTCCGACCGGTGGCCGCCTCAGACGTGGCGACGTTTGATCTGTTCGACCTTCGACCTTGAGTATGACCCTGAATGCTGATCACCCCGCGGGCAACCTCTGCAAGTTGGCATTCCTATATATGCTTGGAGTGCGTGCCAATTGACTTTGACGTGACTTTGGTCGGTCTTCGGCCGGCCCTGCAACTTGGGATAGCCTTAGACCTGAAGCGCAACCTTCCGTCTTCTGCTCGGGATAAATGTGTCCTCTGCTACTGTCTGATGACATCGCCTATGTGGGACATGTTTCTGCCCATCGTGGATGACCTTTGATGGTGACCTTCTCGGTGGCCTTGCCGTTTGGCCATTGGATTTTCTGGACAACCAAGGGCCGAGCGCCAGAGCGGGCTCCACCTGATTGGTTGGAAGGTGGCGGCGGGTCCCAACAACGGCGGGTCCGACAACAACTCTGCGATTTTGCCGTCAGTTTCACTGACACCCAATGATCTGATAACTGCGAGGCCGCTTCAAAGCTCCGATGCTGGCGGATAGCTGTGTGACTGATTGATAGCTAGTGGGGTGAATGCTGGCTGTGTAACTGACGGATCATTGCCGGGCTGGCAGGCAACAGTCCGCCTGACTGGCATTGGGCTTGTAAACTGTGCGATCAACTCGTGGTTGAAGGATCGCATGAGCGACAATGCTGACCGGAGAAGCGTTTTGTCGTGCCACAATTTTGACACATGACATGTCAGCACTGAGCAATCTAAGAAGTGGAGTACGCTGGTGCATAACGCAGCATGGTGCGCTGACTTAATCTCCTTCTCCTAGCCGAGCCAGTGGACGGCATGAATTGCGGCACCAGCTGCATCGTCGGCATCACTTTGGGCCTGGTGTTGCTGCTGGCTCTCATCTTCTTTGGGCTCATGGCCTACGACACCAGGTGATACTGCACTCAGTGAAAGTGATGTTTGGATGTTTGAGTGAAAGCGTGTGCATAGATGTATTATTCAACTTGGCTTATGCTGCAATTGCGGTTGTTTTTTTAGGAAAAGCTACGCAAGAACTCAACCCAAAAGTTATGTCAAAAGATATTTGCATCACAATTCATTGCACATTTTGAATTGGCTGTAGTTATTTCAAATTCATGCCTATTTTTATAGATCTTCGTCGAAGGCTGGACAATAAACGTTTTCGGTTGTTAAGGAATTAAGCTCAGACGTCCTCTTTTCGCTTTTCAATACTTTTGCACGTTTTCAGGTGGGGTGTGAGTCACTTGATTTCGATCCCTGACGTTTTCCAGAATAACTTCCGAAGGGTGCACCGTAGTGACGCTAAACAATGTATATCAGTAAGCACTTCAACAGCTGATCTTCTGGCATGCAAGCTAAATGTTCCGGATAAGCTCGCTGCTCTGTAACAATTCAAAGGCAGGTCATGGCTGTCAGCGAGGTATTTTCTAGGGAATCTTTCAAGCTGATGCTACGGCAAAGTGTTTGATAAAATGATGAACTTTGAGGTGGCTTGTTAAACAGTCAGACAACTGATATTATAATTGCGACTAATACCACTGACTTTGGGTAAGACATGAAGTTCACATCAAAGTAAATACCTAACTGATTTTTTAAACTGAAATCCTTGATTTATAGGGTTCTTGCAGATGCTCATTTATAACTCCTTGGTCATAATGATGTCCATGACTTCCTAATTTTGACTTTATAAAGCTCAGATGCAATCAACAACCTAGAACGACGTCAATCGACCTTTTGCTTCAAACAACATGCTCTTTAGGATAGATCTCAGCGCTGGTTGTAACTTCAAATTGAAAATCATGCTAGGGGACTTTGGTCGTTTTTACCCTTTAAGGGTCAAATAAGGTCCCTGATCTCCTATGAAAATGAATGACCGTTTACTTAGAAACTTACCTAAGTTCAGCTGGTTGCTTGAGATGTCGATAACTAGGCGGCATTTCGGATAGTGAGTTCGTGTTTCACCTCGTTTGACCTTATTTAACCCGGATATCATAACCAAGGGACATAAAAATATATCGTACGTGAGTTAAGATAGAGTCATACGGTCCTATGTGAATTTGGTGTGCCTAGCTGTATTAGCTTTTGAGATCAGGGGTATGAGATGTGATCCCCACCGAGCGCGTCCCTTTCAATCGGCAAATAGTGCGCAAGCTTAGGAATATTTGATCCATTGAACAATGCCATAACCATGTCATGAAGGCAAGAGATTGCCGGTCTGTAAGGCAACACACGACATAAACCAACACACCGAAACATCAAATATTCTCTGGCAGGTTTGCCAATTGTTTCCCCCAAAGCTTCCGACCTTTGCTCTGATCACCGTCGCCTTTCTGTTGCGATCACCGTCGTCAATAGAATTTGGATAACACGCTAGCGATCCCCTTCTTCACTGGTATGAAATTTTACCCCAAAATATCCGTTTTAATCGCATATTAGCGTTGCGTTATGATGTCCGTGGCTTAAAGCTTGTTCCATCAGTTACAGCTTCGCGGGCACGACGTTACATCCGTGGGCTGTTGGGTACCTCAATTTGTTTGCGCCGAGTCTTGCTGGTATCGGGTAACCTACGTTCCCCACAGCGGTCATCAATAGACTCGGGTGACCGCTGTAAAGCTCTGATATCACTGTTCGAGCACGTAACTGATACGTGATCATCTGGCCAGCGTACACTACCATGTGATCACTGATGACCCTGCTGAGCTCCCTCACCCTGGTCCAGCCTGTGCTCACCTCTGTAAGTCGCAGCCCACCGCTGTAGGTGGCAGCTCACCGCTGTAGGTCGCAGCTCACCGCTGTAGGTCACCACTCACTTCTGTAGGTCACAGCTCACCGTTGTAGGTCGCAGCTCACCGCTGTAGGTCGCTGCTCACCTCTCCGCTGATCTCTTCCCACATGTCGCGACCGTTCCGACCGCAGCTGTTCCCAGCTGATCCCTGCTGCGCTGATGCATACTGACCTTTCCTGACTCCGATCACCCCCTCTTGATTCTGTTAATTCGTTCTGGATGCCGTGTTAAGATGTAGTCTGAGCCCCTTCAGCAAGAGTTTAACTGTATCAACGTGTCACAATGCTCAGCGCAGCCTCAGCCCAATGCTGTCCGACCACTGACACCGTATAACCTTTAGCGCGGTTGTTGTCACCGGCCACAAGACGCCACAGTCAAGGGAAAATAGAGGGTGCACTCCACATTTGTAGGCCTTGTTTAAGTAAAAAGTCATTCTGAAAAGAATTTGATGCGGTTCATAGCCCAAGCCTTCTCAAGACCTATAACCCCCTAGTGCCTGAGCTAATCGCCCGCGAAGTTCTGCAGACTATTTCGTGCAGACGTCAAGGTCATTCAGGCATCCATGACGTCATAACAACATCAGCCAAATTCTGACACCTCATTGGCCATGCGGTGTTCAAGGCCAAGACGAATGTAAGCGACGCACCATTCAGATCTGGCGTTTGTGAGCACGATTTTCAGATATGATGCATGCGCATTGGCTCTCAGTCACTGTCAAACATGCTGTGCAAGCTTCATTTACGAGCTTGGTTGTGTAGTTGTTTGGGTTCGAGCCCTTTCGACCAGAAATGGTCATTTCAGGGTTATGGGATGAGGGAAAGTGGTTAGCGGTGGGGCAGGCTTGCATGCGTCTGGGGGGCCAACCCTCGTACACGTGCGCTGGATACCCGGCCGGGGTCCGCCTTCTCACGGGGCTCCCTTCCCATTCGCGGTTGGTGCATGCGGCCTGCCCGGACAAGCGGGATGTCGCGAGGGTGCAGGATGAAGTAAGATGATAAGTAAGTAGATGAAGTAAGTAAGATAAGATGATAAGAAGTTTAAATGAATGCCATTCACAAATCACGCTTTTTGCCACATATTATAAAAAAGTCGGACACAGTTGCTAGTTGTTACGGAAATAAGGCCTCCAATGGAATAACTTAAGAATAACTCCATAACTGAACATTCAAACACAAGCAAGTACCTTAAATTAACGGTTAAATACGCAAAAAGATCACACGAACTGGCTAAAACACGAACACAACGATATTTGGTTACAAACAAACGCCTCCCGCATCACCACGGCCACCAGTCAGGAGACTGAAGTGAGAGTAATGGTGGGAATTTCTTACGGCTAGTTTGACGGCACCGAAACATTAAACGAACGTTTCAAGACGCAATCAAAGAATGACATATGAAAGAAGTGTATTTATCAAATAGAGGAAGTGTGTTGACAGCAGCTGTCTTTTTCACCTAGAAGTATGCCAGTAGCTATAAATGGGCTTATTTCATCACATCTGATGTTTCCTGCACTATCTTCAGATGTGGAGCATCGCATTTAAAACGACTCTAACACATCTCGTGATTCCGGACACAAAGTCCCGTGCCCCCAGTCCTGTGGTAACGGCTGGATTGTCCTTTATGTTGCTTATTGATTTGAATACTAGCCCAAACTGACCTTCCAATGTCAATCAACGACAATCATAACAGACTTCCTTGGTCTTGCTGACCTAAGATGACCCCTGCTGACCTTGCATTGCTTTGATGACCACTTACGACCCATGATTATCACAACCCATCCATCATCGCCGCTGCTGCGCCCGTTGGTAGGGTGCTGACCTAGCTGACCCAGCTGACCCGTCTGACCTAGCTGACCCAGCTGACCCGGCCGCATAGGTGCGGCCGACCGAAGAAGCTGCAGAAGGACCCGCTCGCCGCCGGCATCTCGCTCTCGCTTATCACTGCCGACATGGACATGACTGTCAACCCGCCCGCCGGCCTGACGGCCAGCGCGCAGTACTCCGTCACCACCCAGTTGCTGGAGGCCATACCGGTGAGTGGGCGCGTTGTCAGAGGCTGGACCGCCGCCAACGCCGTCGGCGGCGGCATGGGCGGTTCCAGGGTTGGGTTTTGGAGCGCTCTGGATAGTTTTGTTGGGGGTGGGGTTGGTAGGGAGCGGGGGAATGCTGTCGGATTGGCGTCGCTGAGTTGGGTGGCAGCATTCCGGCCGCCGTTCCCGGATGGGACAGAGCCATTGCACTTACACAATACTGCATGTCACACTTTGACGCGCAGTCTCGCTCGCCGCCGTCCAATGATGTTGATCCGTGTCAAAGATTAACATCTGACAGTCAAACTAAGGCAAATCGAATGTACATTTGGAATGGAAGGGAAAAATTAAAGCCAGGAGGCGTCCTCACATAGCTTTATTTCCTGGGTGCATCGATGACTTATTGTAAGCAGGAATTAACCAGTGGCGTAACGGTAAAGATACACACACACACACACACACACACACACACACACACACACACACACACACACACACACACACACACACACACACACACACACACACACACACACACACACACACACACACACACACACACACACACACACACACACACGTGCGCGCACACGCACCAGCACACACACACACGCAAGCACGCACACTCACGCATGCATGCATGCACGCACACTTTCAGAGTTATCACATAGTTACACATAGTTTTTACACATAAATATGTGTTAGCTGTATTTAACGGGCTCAATGTATAATGCTGCTGGAAATTTATGGTATGTGATACTCACGTCTTGCCACATGTAGGGGTTATTTCATTATATAGGACAGCCTTTGCATACCTGCGTCAGATAGCGTATGCCAGTTTGTAAAGGGCCTTAACCAACAGGTCAAGCTCGGGTGAGAAGTGAAGTTTGGATATGGCGTTGCAGTGAAGTTTGGCCTTCCTGCAGTCAGCTGTTTTTGCCGTCACGTGCTCTAAGCAAAACATTCCTTTTAAAAAACCCGTTCCCAGGTCTTCTTTAAATGAAACAAAATCATCGGCTGACATTTTATTGTATATTTACGCCGCAAATTACATAACACAGCGAGAAAAAAACATCCACGGTTATCCTTTGCTGGCGGGATGGTTGTTCTACTGTTTTAAGCAGATTTGTCCACAGGCTCGCTGTCTTTTCTGTTCTCCATGAATCTGCCTCTCCACTCTCGTGGCAGATTTCTCCGAGGATTTGAGTCAACTGTGTTTGAAGGGCGAACATGATGATTGACCAATGGGGAAGGCTGCTTAAAGGGGCGGGGTGTGAACAACCCTTCGCCCGCTCTTTCGGCACCCTTTTCTCCCGCTCCACGTCCATCAGCCACGTCTCTGGGGTCTTGTCAAAAGTACATCATTGTGTGGTCCTGACAGACAGCACCACAAACTCTAAAGACGAGAGTTTCTCGCAGTCTCATATTTTCTGATGGTACCACCATCTTTGTCTGCCTTATAACGGATGTGGTACCACGAATGTGTGTGTCATATGGCGCACGACCACCATATGTGTCCGCCATGTCACGGATGTTCGTCGCTTTATTGGACAACTGCACGTGCTTTAATGAAAATGACGTTCATTCATTCAAAACCTGAAAAGCACGGTAAGCGTGTTCTAGATATAGAGCATTGAGCCCGCGGTTAGATTCCTCTGAGCACATTGTCACTCATCTGCTGTTTGTAAACTGATCTTGCTTGTAACCTTGTGAACTTGTAACCCTGCGACATACACGTTTCCCTGAAGCGCTTTACGATCAATGGCAATCGTTTATTTTTTGGTTGCGCTTCGTGGCGTGCGTGTGAACTGGAGTACCGTCAGTGGTCCAACGACACAATGCGGCGTGCGTTTGAACTGACATACCGTCAGTGGTCCAACGACCCAATGTGGCGTGCGTGTGAACTGGCGTACCGCCAGTGGTCCAACGACCAGCGGACATCGGTACCAAGCAGAGAACGTAGCTAATCATAATGGCGAGAATAAATGATGCGGTTCGGTCGTCACCGCTATTTATCAATCTGTTGTGATTGACCAATGAGGCACCTAATGCGGTATCAGGTGAGCGAGGGTGATATCGGAGAAGAGGTTATCAATTGTGTTCATGTAGTGGCGCAACAATATCATCTAATGGAGCCGGATACATTTGGGAACCCATACAGACGGGCATGATATACGCCTCATAATGGCAGCCTTTTGCGGAAACTGAGCATACGGAGGTTCAGCGATATTGCCTCTGCGCACGAATTTCACCAATAACGTCGTCTGAAAACTGACAGGTTATGAGCCTGACCTTACAATTTCGGTCGGCAAAATCGATGAGTGTGATGCATAACGTTTTGTGGCGTTTGTGACTGATTACTTGGAAACCATTTGCATTTTGGGTGAAGTCGGCCCCAATGAACTGAGCTACACACACCTGTAGTGCCAATCGGTCTATGTCTCTCGGCTTAGGACACAGACCGTTGCATCACCAATGTGTGTCTGTCGAGGACAATGAGTGTAATATGAACTCGTTTAAGGTCTAGAGAAATATACTTGAGTGAAAGAGCAAAAAGATATACTACGAGTCGGTTATATCTGGCGTTCGTGAGCATAATTTCCAGAGATGACGCCGGTCAATTGGCTCTCAACCAAATTTGTGCACGCCTTGCAAGATTCCAACACGAATGACGTGGTTTTGCTCCATCATACAGGAAGTTATACATTCTTTTTGATTATTAAGGAGATGAGATTTGTATTGGAGTAACACAAGAAAAGTGCTTCGACAGAGAATGCCAATACGGGCCCCACCACAGAAAGCACCTTAAACTCACGAATAGATACGCAAGAACACCACGAGCAAGGGCTAAAACACGAGCACCCATCAGCATTTGGCTCATTACACATCCAACACCGCCGCGACCACCTCTCAGAAGATGGCAGGACTTCACCTGAGTGCTGTCATGCAACAATGACACATTGACTGTGACGTAATGTGACGTAATGACGTAATGACGACTGACACAAACAATGACGTGTTGAGGAGCACATTTATGAGACAGAGAAATGTTGTCGTTGATAGCGGTCTTTTCCACTTAAAATTATACCAATAGTTATGAGCGAGCTTCTTTTAGCCTGTCTGATGGTTTTTCAGTAGGTTTAGATATGGAAAATTCCCTTCAACTTGGGCTTTAACACGCGGTCGGATGGATGGGTCAAATTGTCCCTTAGCGGATCGTTTGATCTAAAAGCTAGATGTAACTTGTATGGTCGCTGACCAATGGCAGGTCGAAGTTAAGCCATGACTATAAGGAAAGGGCATTTCTAGGGAATCGTCCCATGTAACGCAACAACGGAGAGTTAGAAACGGCCATAAGAAGTACAGCCAATGTGATGAATGTATGGTCAGGTATGGAGGTCAAAGCGAGGTAAAAATTAATCTGCTTTTGTTTTCATATAGATGAGAAAATACTGATAGCATTATTCCTCTTGGAATAAACATGAAAATGGAGAGATTTATGTGATATTTCAGTACAAGTCTGTATCAAAACGAATATAAGGAGTAAATCCAAAATTGCCCGCCGATCCTACTAAGATTTTTAGTTTTTGTTTTGTTAACCAGGGAGCCACAATCTTAACAAGTCACCAAACTCAGTGGATCAAACCAGGAGCAATTGCCATTCATTTCTATGATACAGTGGACATGAAACTAAGGATTGGAAAACTCGAACTATGAGACCATGTAACCAAACAATGAAAAAATAAGGGATAACAACTAGAAAGCTGTATTCCTACTTAGGAGGTCCTCCCTCAAGCTGAATAAAAAAATCTCGCCTCTAGGCTGGTTATGTTTGGTATGCCTGTATCTGATAGTTTTATTAGTTTAGTCTCAACCATCATTCACTGTTTGATGGCAAGCAAATGATACTTAAGTGCAAATGAGCTAACGAACCAACAACTGATGAAGGCCTTGCTGCATTGCATTCTTTGTTTTACGTGGTGTATCGCATTTCAAGCTATATTGCAGCCACTTCTAAGAGATGTTGGTCCAGGTGACAATTTAGACAGTTCCAGATTTCGTCGGTGACAGGAGAGGAGCTTTTTTACTCCTGAGAGGATCGCATCGACCATCACTCCATCCTTTCAAGGCGAACGTTGAACGTACTATTCCGCATTTATGCGGGATTTTGAGCTTAGGTAGCCTTTTTATGATGATTCCCTGCATTTCACGGCCATGGCCCGGGTGGCCGCCTAGATGCTCTTCAATCGGGTGGGGGTCAATTTAGCCCCACTGAAGTCTCGGGAACTAAGAAAGTTAGAAGCGCGAAATTGACAGGGTGTGTTCACTTGTAGATGAACTCATTTAGGTCATATTTCAGGTTTTGTAGGTCATGACTTTCGGGTTAAGTAAGGTAAAACAAGATCAAATTCCGGTTCAGTCTCCAAAGTGCTCCCAGAGCCTAAATAATTGTTTCTAAGCACAAGGTCACATGCTCATTAAAGGCCAGTGACCTTGCTCCAACTTTTGAAGGTCATGGTGACCAAAACCATACAAGATTGCTCTCAATTTTGCATTTGAACAAGCGATAAAGATTAAGCTAGGCAGTATGTTTCTAAGAACAAAGTGTTGATCTGGGCCATTTTAAGTCAATGACCTATTCTCATCTTTAAGGAGCCAAGGAAGATGCATAAGGCGGTTCCTGCTATCAATAAATTCGAAATGAGGACCACAAACTGTTCCATACAGCAACCCCTAGAGTAATAAAACAGGTTGGTTTTTACCTTGGCCTGACCTTCATACCTAACCTTAGGTCAATGTGATGTGTTCATTTAATATTTGTGTTGCCTAAAAAACATATCAGAGGCGTCTGGCTTTGTCTAACACTCCATTGCTACATCAGATTGAACGATTCCCCAGAGATTGACTTCGCTGAAACCATGGCCTGTCTTTGACTTGCCATAAGTCAGCGATTTGACAAGGTATACCACTTTATGAAACCAAACCATTCGCTATTCAATTGT